ATATATGAGAGATGTCCCTTAGAAGTGCCTCTTTACTTTTTTATTCACTTTTTTTATTTTTTTATTTTGTCTTTGCCTCATCAGAGGATTTATTAAGTATACCTGGTTACATCCAAAGATACAATACTACAAATCAAATTTACAAAATCACAAAATCATAATTATTGGCATAACAAAGAATTGAAATTAAGTTTTGCATTACAAAGCAATTGAATCATTATTAACATAACAATTATACTAATAGTTTTGTTTCCCTCTCTCTCTCTCTTTTTTCCTTTTTTTTTCTTAAATGGCACCTAACAGTTTTTTTGGTAAAAACTTTCTGGTCATATTTATATTTGGCATACTTTCCAATCTTTTTATAATTTCTCTGTGGAAATTTTATTTAGAAGCAACTTTTCTCTTGTCTATTCCAGTCATGTTTTGATGAACAATCAATTTATAAATGGTCCAAAATGCTATTGTAAAGAATAAAGTACAATGACTTTCACAATCTATTTTGAACAGGTGTTGGATATTGAATGTCAGTATCGTTACTTTGTATATATCACGTAATATTTCTTTTAGATGTTTAATGAAGGGCTCAATTAGTTTGCATTCGATAAATGCGTGATTTATATATTTGTTGTTTTTATTCTTATAAGTGCCCCTTTTAATCTCCGATGAATGTTCTTATTTAAATTCAAGAGCTACCCCATTTACCTCTGTAATGAGTCCCCCTTTTTTATATTTGATAATATCCCCTTTCCCTTTGTAAATAGTGCCCCTTTTCTGTTCTCGTAAGTGCCCTTTTCCATCTCTGGTGAGTTCCCCTTATCATATGTGAGAAGTGCCCCATTTTCACCTCTGATAATTCCCGTTTTTACTTTGAAATGAACTCTTTTTATTTTCTAATAATTTTTTTCATGTGCCCCCCGTTCCTTTCACCATAAATTGTGCTCCTAATTTAAAGTAACTATGAGCTTTTTCTTTAATTTCACCCAAAGCTCGCTCGCTACGCTCGCTCGCATTTAAGGTTTATTTAGTTATGTTTCTTATTAAACAATTTTCAGTCTTTTTTATGACTAGATTGCGCTTAAAACCCAATCAGGATTGTTCTTTCCTCTTTATACAACTTCCACACAACTGCGCCAGGAGTGTCATTTTTGACAGACATGGCGCATTATAAATGTTCACTATTATTATTATTATTATTTATAAGATGTAATTTTTTGCACTGCCGCATCACAAATCTAAAATTCTTTGCTCACTCGCCTAAATATTCAGACCATCACACCGAACTGCAAAGTATGATGCTCAAGCGGTATGTTGCACCATGTAAAGAGAGAAACATACATTGAAGTTATCCCTGATAATGTAATCACAGTGTAGGTTATATATCAATGTCTAAAAACTGTATATTTTCGCTTTGAGATTTCCCTTTGTAGATGCCCCCTTTTTGTGGTCCCCCTCCCCACTTAGAAAGACGCCCATAGGTAGTAGCATTAGTAGTATTAGTAGTATTAGTAGTAGTAGTAGTATTAGTAGAAGTAATGCTAGTAGCAGCAACAGCGTCAAAACCATCATTTGATAATAAGCCAACACTATGAAATACTAAACAGAGTATTTTGTGTAAATATGTTTTATTTTATGATACAGGTTTTTACACTTGATTGATAACATTCACATGAAGAATATTGACCTTGGATTCTGCACCATGATATTTACTCTCATAGTTTTTGCTACTATCACAGGGCGAGTACTAATCGCAATGTTATCCGTCTTAGGCCAAACCTGAATCCAAAATCTCCATTGCACATTCAATATATTAATCTATAATAATCAACACATTCTGGAATTGGAATGATAAGCAATAGGCCACAACTTATGAGACATTATAATAAGCATAAGTTATAACTACGGATCTATCATGTTTTTGATGACATACAGACAGTATTTGTATCATATACCTTGGTAATGACTGAGGTCCTGCCTACGAACATCTTTAACATTTTGTTGTGCAAGTACTGAGTATCTGTTTCCGAAGTACACAGACGCATAATGATGGGTTATTTGACCGAATTGTAATAGAAAATGATTGTGTAGTATGTCTTAATTACCTCCTTTTTCACATTTCATTTTATTGTGTACAGAAAAAATGACATCCACCTTTGCAATATCAGTAATCCAGTGGAATGGTTATAATTTACAACCATCTGTCTTATTAATTGATTGATTGAAAAGAGTCTGTGCTATTCTGTCAAGTAAATAAGTTAACAAAACCCCGGAATAAAACTTATAAAATTACAAATACATTAAACGCTCAATTGGAAGAAACATGTCTGTAATTTGAATTCAGATTCAAAGACAACATTTCTAGGCCATAATACAACTTTACGCTGAAATCGCTGACATAGTGTCAGCGTTTTTTCGTTTCATAACCAATCTAAACATTGTGTCGTATCACATAACGCTGAGGGCAATAGGCAATTCAGTCCCAAGACAGCATTTTAACAAAATCGAAAGATATTGAATTAAATCAGTTTGTTAAAGCACTCATTTTTCCAAGGAGAGAACATTAGTATTGGAATATATGGGTACAGGTAATATAGTGAAGATTTTATGGGATTTCATTTATCTCCCAAAATATTGAATAGATATCGCAGTCTGAACTCATTAAATTCCGTTCTTACAATATCAATATAAAAGTCGCTATAATCAATAACGGAAAAATGCTTTGTGGCTATGACTACGAAAGAGATCCTTCAAAATAAAGATAGAAATTAAATGGTGGTAAAGTGATAGCTCTATTGAAGGCAACTCGAACTGTCTCAGTTATACAAAGTGAGTAACTTGAAGGTACACTTTATGCACATTACCGCTAACCTTCCGACCTTATATCATACAGGTATCTCTAAAATTGCAAAATGTACAGAATATAAAACAATTTTCCCTGTATGTACATGTCATAATTATATATAATTAAAACTTAACGCCACATTGATTGAGAATGAAAAGAAAATGATAAAGCAATCTACTATATCATGATTTATAATCATGTGGAAGTATGTCATAATATTTTTGTTGACAAATTCTCTTGAAGACGAGCAGAAAATACTGATCGAAACTTCAAGAATAAAACTCTTAATTTGCGGAGCTCAAAAGCCTTTTTCAGGGATATTATTTTCTTTGGAAATTTTCAATGGTGTTTATAAACATGAAAACTTTACCTTCATTTTCACTACAGAATAGTTAACAAACAGAGTGTAACCTTTTTGATAATGATAAATACAATCTGGATTTATCTAGCGCTTAATTACAGTTGGATTCTCCGAGCAGCATCATATACAATGCACAATCAAACTCAAGTGTGGGCTATAGCTGACAGAGTCTATTTCTCAGTGGTACGCTTGCATTACACAACGATGCACATTTTACTCTTGACAGGGCTTCGAATCCTTGTGTGATTTTTCCTCGGGTTCGTCACATCTTCTACAGCCTTCACCGCCGCGACCACGGCTTTTGCAGCCGCTTCGGCGTCGCCACTCTGAGCAGCTCGGGCTGCTTCGGCCGATGCTTTAGCAGCAGCATGACGTGCATTTCGATTAGTGGTCGAACCAGCACCACAAGCATGGCCATTAGAACTGTCTTCGTGTTCATAGATGTACTTCGCCATCGATTCGGCCAGGAGGACTGCTACAAACGCCTTGGCAACCTGAGAAAACATAAACCGTGACGTACATGTACCTTATAAATGCATCAAAGTCTCTTTTAAACTGTTTTAAGAATGACATTAAAATGGTTTACTTCCGGCATTACAATTACAAAAGAAAAATTGAATAATTCGTTTTATGATGGCATTATAATGTGGTTTTAAAATACCAACGTAATAATAATACAGGTAAAATTCTTTGTGTTAACACTTCGACCTAGCAACATCAGGATGATTAAAGATCCACAAAGGCTGTCAAGTCAGAGGTCCGGCTTTCACCCTCTGGGACGACTACCCCCCCCCCCCCCCGGGACAACTACCCCTGGACAACTATCCCAAGACAACTACCCCGTACGACAACTACCCCCAGACATCTACCCCCTAGAACAATTCCCCCTAGGACAACTTTCCCCTAGGACAACTTACCCCCGGACAACCAACCCATAGGACAACTACCTTCCGGACAACTACCCCCGGACAACTACCCCTCAGACAACTACCCCTAGGATAGTTGTCCCGGGAGTAGCTGTCCTAGAGGATGGTTGTCTGGGGGTAGTTGTCTGGGGTAGTTGTCCTGGGGGTAGTCGTCCTAGTGGGTGGTTGCCCTAGGGGGTAGTCGTCCTAGAGGGTGGTTGCCCTAGGGGGTAATTGTCCTAGGGGATAGTTGCCCTTCCTAGGGGGAAGTTGACTGGGGGTGGTTATCCAGGGGGTATCCAGGGGGTAGGTGTCCGAATACGAGCTAAGGGATACCGAGCCTAATTTCACCTACCCTCCTCGCTTCCTTGATCTCATTCTTCTCACTGATCTTAGTTGTCTTTTCTTTAACCTGGTCCCACTTGATCTCAACTGCTTTTTTCTTAGCCACCTTCTTATCCTTGGCCATCGGTGATGATGAATCCCTGGCCGCACCATCACCAGCATCCTGACAGGAAGTATCATAAAACCATGAACATGAAAATGCAATATCTTACAAAATTATCCACATGAAATTGAAAATCATCGATTAATAATGATCACTAAACTTTCATGCAACAGGATGAAAAACAGATTGACTTCGAATAGACCACCAGTCTTGTGAAGATGTCTACTTTAGACACTGTTAGATGGATCATTGGGCAATCATTTGCTCTCTACGCCAGAGGTCAATTTTTTCAATAACTTTCTATATCAGAGGCATATTTTTTTCTTCTTCAAATGCATTATTTATAGTTTATTGTTTATAGGTAACGTTACATTAGATTAACTTCTTTAAATTCTATTGAAAGGTATGTCTTAATCAGAGTAAGAGTATGCTTACTTTATGTGGCGTTCAGTCAGAACTTCCTGCGACTTCGTCGGAGAGTCGACTCGGATCGGGTAGCGTAGAGGGCGTCTCTGAGATGGGACTTGGACAAGTGTCATTGCCATCAGTAGCAGAAAGAGCTAGGGCTTCTAGCCATTCATGGACAGACTGAGATGGTTCCCCTGAAAAATCAAATAAAACTACGTTTAGGCTTGGCTTTTGACTTATGAATAAACGTATTGATTTTCTTCGTTTAAATATGTCACTAGATCTTTGTTTCGTTGGCTCATTCGTTATGGAATGACAATTTTTTTACCATTGCCTGACATAGCATAGTTGTACAGTTCGGTACCTGCTAATTTATGTATTTCACTAGTTTAACACCTTTAAAAAAAATGCCCATTACCGAGGGTTGGGAACATGAGTCCTAGATCGATCTCGTAGCTGGCTCCGTTCTGTGAGAGGTTGATAGAAGTGTTTCCAGAGAACAAGGTATGTAGGCACAGCTGTAGAGGAACCTCAGGAGCCACTTCAATCTCAGAACTACTACACGTATAGAACATGCTGAACGGCGTTATCGTTATCTGTGGAATTGATGAGAATGCATTAGAAGAATACAATACGAAAATGATTGAACGATTGGATGAGTAGGTCATTTAAGAATACCCCTGCTGGAAAGAACACACTCATTCACAGTGTGAATCACACTGTGTTTCACACTGTGAATCACAGTGTGCTCCACAATGTTAAATTGGGGCGTTTCCACATTGTGGTCGATTCGTTTCACACTGTGGTTCACAGTGTGGATAACCGGAAAAGAAAAGATCACACTCATTCACACTCATTCACAGTGTGAATCACAGTGTGCTCCACAATGTTAAATTGGGGCGTTTTCACCTTGTGCTCGATTCGTTTCACACTGTGGTTCACAGTTTGGATAAGCGGAAAAGGAAAGAACACACTCATTCACACTCATTCACAGTGTGAATCCCACTGTGTTTCACACAGTGTGAATGAGTGTGTTCTTTCCAGCAGGGACATCAAACTTTTTGATGATGTACATAATGAAGACAAAAACGTGGTATGAATTCTATATCGTAATTGTCATCAAGAAGGGGTATTAGATAGTGCGTCTTCAAAAAGAAAATTACAAAGCAACATTTCAATGCTTGTAATGCCTAAAGAATGAAAACGGGGGCTTGTAAATTGATGAGAATAATTACCCACACGGGATGATGTGGAAAGGGACTCTCGCTTTGAACAGGGAATTGTGAATTAATGTTGAAAAGAAAGAGGGGTACAGAAGTAAGGGCCAGGATACTGAAGAAAGAAAAAAAAGAACAAATATTTCTTTCTATAAGAAGACAAGGAAGTCAAAGATGAAACGATTTCTCACCATCTTGTAGAACCCTGGCTACTCCTGAAGGAACTGTTCAGTGATGAGAAGGACCCTAGCGATAGCTCCCCAGATGATCTCAGTAGCTCTCTGATCTCCTTCCTCATCAAGATCAGATGTGACACGCCCGACGACATCTAGACATGGACAGAACTCTGTCATCTCAGGCTCGTTGATGTTCACTAGGACCTTGAAGAACAATCAAGAAGAAGATGTCCGGATCGACAAATAAAATGTTTATATTGATCAAGAAAACACAGAAGATGGGTCAAATTGTGTCTGCCAAGTGAGTATATTAATAAAGGATTTCCCGGCCAAATTCGCGAGTTTGTCATTCAAATTAATTTGTCTTGCGTTCGAATTCGACGGTTTTAGTGCAGTAAGGTATATCTCGGGTTTATATTCCTTTTTCTAGTTTTCAAATCTATGGAATTATCGTTAGAATCTACGTATGCTTCATTCAAATTAATCAACAATGTGCTTCTTTCGCTATTTGGTCATTCGATTTGGCGCAACACGATTTTCTGACAACACGACGGTGTACTTCTAGCATTCTAATTCATTTGTAGCATTCAAATTAGCACTTTGTGCACTTAAATTGATGGTCAATATACATTTCTCGTTTATTACACACTTTTTATAGCTCATTCTTTTTCTTTCAAGATTGTTTTTTCATGTGTATTTCATCATATTTCATTTTCTTGCATTTATACACTTATACTTATTAGATTTATCTGATATTCATCAGCATTTAAGTTTGATTGTTAAGTAGAAAAAAACGACTTGCATCTACGGACCTGATGGTCTCAATATATTTGTAAATGTTCATGTAAGGAAGTTGTTAGTCTTATGTTTCATCATAAATTTATCATAATTTCATCATAATTTCATTATGGAAGATGGGTACAATATTGTAACTGGGGTAGGGACTAGAGTCAACAATTTGAACATGATTCATTATTTAGCCAAGTCTTTAGCCATCGATCTGCTGGCGGGCAAGTAAACTATGAAACTCCTTAATATATAAAAACAGAGGGGTGTGCTGGGTATAAGAGACGATGTGAATTACTTTTGTAAAATTCCGAGTCTGTAGTATAAAGGGGCGATTGAGGATACCCCCACCTTTCCCGGGTATATGAACATGTCCGTGCAGAAATGCCATATCCCTTGATTTCGCCCCTTCTTAACTTTATGTCTGACTACACCCATCTGCATTGTCCTGAAAATGAATAAATGGAATAACAGCTTAGACCCCAATGGCAAATCTTGCAATTTTAACTGCATTATTTAAAAACTGTAAAAGTTTGTTGCAATTCTTCCCCCTAACATTCCTAACTTGAACAAAAATATTACGAACACGAATGACAGGTGTTAATTTGAATGATAAAAATTACGCTTCGACAAGTGAATATTAATTTGAATGGTAGTTGAGCAGTTTCTAAATTGAATGACAGATCTATGAAACCCTTCGACCAAAATCCTAAATTAAATACAAAAACTGGGAAATTGAACGATAATTGGCATGGCAAAGCCGATCTGCGCTAACTCAAATGCAAAGTAAATGAATTCGAATGACAAACACGCGAATTTGGCCGGGAAATCCTATATTAAATAATAAAAATAATGATTGTTGCTTGTAAAGCACATAATAATTAATGTATAACGAAAGTAATAATAAAATGCACTTAAAGTTAATCTTGGCTGCTAGTAGTTACGAAATTGTTTGGAATCCTCAGTAGAACAACAGGATTATAATGGTATAGTAGTTAAGCAGGGCTATCCATATTTTTAAAAACTCATATTGCATCAGACTAGAGACAACCAAGACACGCTAAAATTAAAGCAATTATTAGTCTTCCAAAGTCAGTCAAGATATGAAAAACTATGGAAGGGAAGGAGTAAGTAAAGAGAAATGAAGCTGGTTTTGAGGAACAAATGTGTGAATCGACAAGATTGTATTCAGAAAATATCAAGAAATTAATTAAAGTTTGGAATTAAAAGAATTTGCCACAATCTATATCACTTTTATTTGGCATATAATTACATATTTCTGTCATTGTTTTTCAAATTGTATGGTATTTAAAATGTTTAATTCGGTTAATAATGTGTTTTGGTGCATTTATTCATTATTCGAAAATATCCAAAATGTGTCATTTATGAAATCGTCTCTATCCCATTGATATATTACTCAATTTCAAAATTATGTTTAAAAAGTATGATGATTGTTATCTACGGTCATAATGTGCAAAATAATGATTTTATATAAAAACAAAAACAGTAATTGACTTAAAAGAAGACCATCATGTCGGGATAAAACCAAAATAAATGAATCATGATTAATTCATCATCTGTTCTCAGGTGGTTTGTCACGTGCAGATCTCACACCGGCATTCACTAACACTTTGAACTAGTGCTCTTTTAAATTCCTTTTGAACAGGAACCTGTCTATTTTATAGCGGGGCACTTTGTCAGTAGGCGACCATTAAAATGATTAAACGGTATCGATCAAGGGTGTCGATTTGTATCCGTGGTTGAGGGGATGATAGGTGCCAAAATATTTTCGGCGATGGATCAAAGCAACCAAAGTGGTAGAAGCGTGTGGCAAGTTGCACCCCTCCCATGCGCGTAGCCAGGATGTAAGTTTAGGGGGGCGGTAGTGAGCACGCGAAGCGCGCTTTCTAGGGGGTTGGGTGCAGGGAGGGGGAGTCCCCCCCCCCCCCCCCGCGCAAAGCGCGGAAGCTTTGACGTTTCACTAAATTATTAGAGAGAGAAGACGATTCGTTGGACCGTTCTCGACTCTTAATCCTTGTGTCACAAATAAGTTGTGACATAATAATCTTTTCTCCAAAAATTAAAAATGTTTTAGGAAATATCAGGAAATAAGATGAGTGAAAAAAATAAAAATAAAGATACAATGACGTGAATTTTAAAAAAGGTGAACGGAAACAACATAACAACTAGTGAACTATTTTATATGTCATACTAATGTCCGAAAATCTTTCTCCTTGTCTCCGATCTCATCACGAAATCGTTACAGAGTTCATCTATGTTTACACGCGTCCAGGATTATCTGATGTGCACTTCAGATTGCTACTTTTGTGCTTCGCGCTTAACATTTAGCTCGTTGCTTTTGATGCTGCGTCTTTGCATTTGGCGCACTGCATTTCTATGATGCTGTTGAAATTGAATAAATTCATCAATTCCTGATGAAGCCGTATGAGCGAGAATTCAATTTATTCTTGTCTCGTATACGGTTGTCTTATGTATGTATTATGAAAATGAGATAGCAAAATGTGTTTATTGATGGTCATCTTGCGAGTAATAACTACTCTCATCGGACTCTCATCATTAATTTTTCTCTTCATTTTTTAATTTGTTTTTATGGTGAATCATTGGGGGGATGATTGTACAGGCCATCCCCCCACCTGAAATATTTGGGGGGATATATCCCCCCCCCATCCCCCCCCCCCCCGGGATCGACACCCATGGTATCGATTACTCATATTTTTCTTATTCCAGTCATATATTTATCATCTTTTAATTGTATTAGAATATCGAATGACACTGAACCACCTTTGACAGATGTTATGGTCTTATAGCGATATTTGTTTACACTTAAAACTTAATCAGCAGCTAAAGTATAATCAAAGAAAGATAGCAATCGACTTTAAACTTCACTTGATTTTCGTAATTGACGTGAAAGAAAGAAATTAACAAGGAGTAAGTTCCCCCAAGTATTCCTGCCATGTTAAAATATTGTGTACCGGGAAAGAATATCATCAAGGTGTTCTTTTTTTGATGAAAAATTATCCATAATGTGTCTTTTATTTTCAGTTATAAACACTTTTTGGATCATTTATAAACAATTACAAATGTCAACAGCGTACAACTATTCTATTATCTAAATTACGTCTAAATTAGTTATGAGAGTGCGCATAAAATTGATTAAGTATGAGATTGGAAATGAAATTATACATAATGTGCTTTTTAGTTTCATTTATGAATACTTGTTGGATCATTTATAAACATATAAATTTCAACAGTGAAAGATGGTACAACTATTCTATTATCTAAATTATGTCTGAATTATTTTTGGGAGAGCGCAAGGTATGATTAAATATGTGATTAGAAATTTGACAAATTAAACAATGAACGAGCATTATAAAACAAACAAAAGCTGTAA